CATTCAAAACTTTTTATTAAATTCAAAGCAAGTTCATTTATAATCTTTCAAGACAAGACTTTGTTTTCACTCCACTCCAGCCGCCAATAAAGCTCCCGAAGAGCACCTGTATAAACAACCCAGGGTCTTCTCACTATCACTCTCTGTAAACAAGCCGAGGAACCTTGAAATGCAAAGTCAAATGATCAATTTAAAGAATAGGAAACATTTGCAAAAGTTCCATCCATAAAAGAATTTTTTTTAAAAGGATAACACACTGTCTAATGTAGCTTAATTTCATCGCTTGTTCTCTTCTGTTTTCAAATTTAATTTAGCTTTAATTTTTTTTGGGGGGTAGTCTCTTTTATAATAATAAGATTTCCTCACCAGATGGTCACACTTTCTCTTTCCGTTTTCCTCCCGTTCTGGAGCTATCCCAACTTCAGCAGATTCAATGGCTGCACTTCTGTCACTGGAAAAAAGAGATTCTCCTTGATCAATCAGGGACTTTGCGGTGTCCCTGAGATCTGTCACCATCTCTTCGAGATGGTTTAGGTACAAAAGGACCATCCAGCGGCAAAAGTATCAACTATGATCTTGGAGCTCCAAGATCACATGTCGTGTCGTTGCGACATCAGCTCCTCCTCTAGAGGATAACATTCTTTTGAACTATATACCTAGTATATGGAATTTGACCACTAGATTATGTAAATAGATCCTCCATGTCCTTAACTATGGCTTAAAAAACTAAAATTGCAACATTAGAAAGATAAATGTACGGCCCTATTCACTCAATGGATTGAAGATCTTGCTACCTGTGAGTGGTTTCTCTACAGACAATTAGTCATTGATTTTGTACAGACGAATATAGTGAAATATGGGAACTCATTTATATAAAATACGGTAGGTTAAAAGCAATCATAGTTATATAACAAAAATTAATATATGTACTTGAATAATATTTATACTACATATGTATATATAAATTTGTAACTTAATTGCTAAAATGATGTATAGGTAGTTGTTATGACTCAGCAGAAGTTTGCTGTGAGTTGAGTCGGGATGCAGGAATAACAATGCAGCTGGGGCTCGTTAGTGTGGTCTTCTGGAAATAAAAGGACTGATGGTGCCTGGTTGCAGAAGTCAACGTTCATCGTTCGTTCATGGTTCATTGTTCATCGGTCGTGGTTTGTTTGTGAGAGGCACTTGGATAAGTGGTTTGCTTTCTTTCTGAACACCTGGTTTTACTGACAGAATGGATGTTGTGTTAATTTTAATATTGTATTTCTTATTTTAAAATTCTTAAAAATGGTTTTATCTTGCTTGTGAGCCGCCCAGAGTCCCAATGGGAGTGGGCGGCATACAAATTTCATTAAACTAAACTAAATTTCATTAAACTAAACNCAATTGTCTGCCCTCCCTGGCCATCTCTCTAGTAAGGGGAGAATATATGCTGACCTACAAACTCTGTATAGCTCACAGTGCAATCAAACATGTGAGATATCTTCGTGCCACATATACGTACCCGTTCTGCTATTGTTGTTCTCTTATACCTACCCTGGAGGAGTGCTGAGGGGAGAATGTTAAATCTGGCTCTGAAGAAAGCTATTCTTTGTTTTGGGAAGATCGGGTCATTTAGATATCTTGCCGATTCCTACACACCCTGTTTGATTCTGTCCCTACTGTGGAGAGGCAACCTATTTAGTTCTTTAGTCAAATCATGGAATCCATGCTATTTTCAGAAAGTGGTTACATCACTAGGTGGGCTGCTCATAACCCTGATTTTCCACATGCCTAAGATCCTTGCACCAAGGAGTAACATTGGCATCCTGAGGATTGGTAGAGCTCAGGAAAAGCAGATGAACCTGGGAGCAGGAAGGAAGCCAATAATTCACCTATTTCCTCTGCACTATGATCTGGGTGCCTCCCTGCTAATTCAGTTCACTTTGAGCTGCTCTAAGGTACATTAAATATGAACTGGATTGATGGACTGATATTGTTGAATTTGTTAAGGATTATGAACTGTTCTCATGATTACATATTCAGTGCACTGGAAATGATTTTGGTCTATGAATTGGTCCTCGGGAGCAGGGGAGCAAGGAACTGGGTGCGAAAGTAGCTAACTGAGAGTAATGGGTTTTGCAGTCTTTGGGAAGCCTCTGGTGCCCTCTGCCCATGTTCTGATGGTAAGTAGCCCTCTACATCTCCTCCATATTAAACATTGGCCCATTTTTCTTTCTCTTTATAGCTTCTACAGTAAAACTCAGATTGGTGGATTCCAGGACCTTGAATGTGTGCCCTGCACAAAGCAGACCCCATCCTCAGAACCACAGTGTATGTACTAACTAGGCTTCTAGGAGCTCCTTTTCCTCATTATGCTTCAGATGCGCCCTCCTGATGGGGTTCTACACCAGGGTCAAACTTGGCAACGTTTAAGACTTGTGGACTTCAACTCCCTGAATTTCATGGCTGGCTGAGGAATTCTAGGAGTGAAATCCTCAAATCTTTAAGTTGTCAAGTTTGGAGAGCCCTGTTCTACACTGCAAGTAAGATTGAGGCTTGCTGAATATTTGGGCTCCCTGTCTACATAGAAGTAAAAGTAAAGGATTCCCCTGTCCAGTCCTATCCAATGCTAAGGTCCGGTGCTCATCACCATTTCTTAGCCAAGGGAGCCAGTGTTGTCCGAGGACACTTCTGTGGTCATGTGGCCAGCATGACTATACGGCAAGGCGCTCAGAACATTGTTATCTTCACACCGAAATGGTACCTATTTATCTACTCATGTTTGCATGCTTTCAAATTGCTAGATGAGCAGGACCTGGAGCAAGGAACAGGAGCTCGCCACATCACATGGCTCTTGGGTCTCGAACCCAGACTGTCAGCTTTCCAACTGACAAGCTCAGCATTTTTAAGTGCTGAGCCATTACACTCCTGGCCTCCATGTATGAAATTGCATATCAGGGAAGTTTGATTCTGCAAATGGTGCATTGGCATATGGGGCGGAGAACAAACCGATAACCACTGGTGTTTATTAGTTGTGTCTCTGGATGCATGAGGGGTAAATTATATGCTCTGCTTTGTTTTCAATAATGCCCTGCTCCTGTTAGCCATATGAGATATGTGGAAACCCTGCAGAACTGACAGTGCTGACTCCTGGTCCATAGGAAGAAAACCCAGCCAAAGCTACCTGACTTCTTGGCCTATAAAACTCTTGAGACCTAGTGACATGTTAAGATGTTGTTCCAATCAAGAGGGCTAGAAAGATCTATTCCTTAAGAGGTTCTGCAGTGGTGATTTCAGGTTCAAAGCACACATTTTCTTTTCTGAATGGAATCTGCATTGCCCTGCTGAAAATGCTTTTATTTATTTTTCATTTCCAATATATTCAACTACAAGGAAGGCTACGTCTCACTTGACGCTGTCCTCTAAGTAGGAAGGACTGAAGGTTTTTAGTAGCTGTGCATTCACAAGAGCAAAGCATGCCCCCCTTCCCCCCCTTCCCTCGGGTCAGAGAGATAGGAAGAGGGAACTTCTGTGGTTGCTAATTACTGGGAAATTGGAACATCCAGTTGGGCTAGTAGCAAAGCTCATTTTGCACTTGGGAAATGGAAATGTTCCATTCTGCATTACGGAGCACACATAGGTCCTGTGTACCCAAAGGCAGGTTCCCAACTGGGATTTGTTGCCCGCCAAATAGAAGACGGGAACCTGTTCCTTCCCGCTTTCTTCTTCTTGTTGTGCTATATCCATCATCGGACATTGGCAATCCTATTTTTATCAACAACTGCACGAAAAAGTGCTGTTGAGTTTTGTCCAAACCCTTAGATTTTGAAGCCATGATGTTCTTCTTCTGCCTGGACCTCCTTTGCCTTCAGTCTTTCCCCGGAGGATTAAGTGAAGGATGCCATATTTTTCTGGGTGTTGCATCCCATGTCCAAAATATTCTTTCATTTTTTAATGGTTGTGATGATTTCCTTTGGCTTTTCCAGGCGGCTTATCTCCTCCTACTTTCTAATTTTGTCAACCCAGCTTATACGTAACAGCCTTCCTGCTTTGAGTGATGTTTTTGATCTTGGTAGGCCTTTCTAGAATTGGCTTAGAAGAAAGTTCCACAGATTCTGCCCAAGACCCAGCTCTGGTGGTGCTCACAAGCAGTGCCCTGGCAATCTTGGCGCTAGTCCTCCTGACGGTCACCATCCTCTACTGCCAGCAATTCTGGAAGAGCCAGTGCCAACATGGTGAGTGAGTCCTGCCTGCAGTTTCTCCTCCTTTCTCCACTCTTGCTAAGGGAAATAGGTTCCCTCTCCCTCCCTCCCTCCTCCCCCTCTCTCTAAATTATATTTGGAAGCAGGTCAGGCAGATGATTCAGTGGTATATAAAAAGGGGAGGAGATACTGGATAAAACAGACTGGCAGATTCCTGATAACCAGCCTCAACAAAAACTCTGGTCTACTAATTTTGCAAATCTCGTACAGGTAGTGCTTACCCCATTCGTTTAGTGACAGTGGCACTGAAAAAGTGACCTATGTTTGGTCCCACAGCCTCAACCGTTGTAGCATCCCCATGGTCACATGATCAGAATTCGAACGCTTAGCAATTGGCAGGCATTTATGACGGTTGTAGAGAAACAGAGATGATTAGGGGACTGGAGACTAAAACATGAAGAACGGTTGCAGGAACTGGGTATGTCTAATGAAAAGAAGGACTAGGGGAAACATGATAGCAGTCTTCCAATATCTCAGGGGCTGCCCCAAAGAAGAGGAAGTCAATCTATTCTCCAAAGCACCTGAGGATAGGAAAAGAAGCAATGGGTGGAAACTAATCAAGGAGAGAAGCAATCTGGAATTAAGGATAAATTTCCTGACAGTTAGGACAATTAATCAGTGGAATAACTTGCCTCCAGAAGTTGTGAATGTTCCAACACTGAAAGTTTTCAAGAAGAGATTGGATATCCATTTGTCTGAAGTGGTGTAGGGTTCCTGCCTAAGCAGGGGGTTGGACTAGATGACCTTCAAGGTCCCTTCCAACTGTGTTGTTTTATTTGGGATTTGCAATCTTCCCACCTGGTTTCCAATAAGCAAAGTCATGGGGGGGCGGGACTTAACAGCCACTTGATTACTTAACAACTGCAATGATTCACTTAATAACTGTGTCAAAAAAGGTAAAATGGGGCAAAATTCACTTAACAACAGCCTTGCTTAGCAATTGAGCTTAATTGTGATGCTAAATCGAGAAGCTGAAAATCTCCCATTTGTTGATCAAGATGGCCTCTGACACTCAAGTCTAGCACTGAAGACCTTCCTGCAGGATTGTTGCTACACCAACAACAGGCAGATGTAGAAAGAACATGGAGAATTCCTTAATGCAACAAACCCAACAGTTGGGACAGAATTTACCTCAGCTGCAGTCACCTGCAGCAGAGCCAGTATTTCTGTGTTCCCCTGGGGGCTAGCAGAGAGGTTTGGAGAAGACCAAGGCCAATTCCAGACCTTCATGACTCACTGTGGGTGACATTTGTATGGAATTTGCTGAAATAAGGGATGGGCAGATGGGTCATTCCCTCATGTAGGGCAGTTACCCTGTGCTGAACAATTATATAAGCTTAGTGCAAAGATTGACAGATGTATCACTGATCACCTGAGATGGGGGACCACCAAAGGTGGGTTGCTCCCAGTTCGGCCCAGACCGCCCAAACCAGTAGTAGCAATGGTGGGAGGCTCCGCCCACTTGCCTGGACGCTTCGGCGCATGTGCAGAAGTGTTGCATACACATCCGAGTGTGTGTGCAAGGGCGCCCGAACTGGTAATAAAAAATTGGCAACCCACCATTGGGGACAACCAACCTTAAAATCTGCAAACTAAGCAGGGTCAGTGTTGAATCTGGGTTTACATGCTGGGTTTAAAATTATTGGTAGGATGGAATGATTGGGCTCTAATTGTCCAGCTTAGAGAAAGTCTTGCGGAGAGCTGAACTGGTGAAACGAGGCAGCCCAGAAACTTTGGAAGTTCTGTCCCAGTGTTGCCTGATAACAGATGCTGACTAGAGTAGCCGAGGCAAGGGAGAAATGGCAAGGCCTCTTCTCCCATAGTCCCTCTTCCTGAGGGCTGCCTTTGAATCCAGTTCTGGAGAATCCATGCCAATTGGAGCAATCAAACGTTTTCTGTCAGCAAGAGAGAAACTGAAAAAGACTTTCTTGCAAGGTGTGTCAACTCCTGCTTCTCCTTTTTGTTTGCATGTTTCCAAAGTGTTTTTGAGAAGTCAGAATGTCTCTGGTCAGAGAGTGACATTTCGGGCATCTGCTGGGCCAACTGGTTTCCATGAACGGCTGCCAGATGCTTGCTCCTTGAACATCAGGAACTTCAGGTCTTCCTACAGACCCCCAGAAGGTGAATTTCTCCAGTGGGTTTTCATAGAGTAACCAAGATGGAGCCTGTGTCCATTCAGAGCCTCTTTCTTACATGTTTACCATGCTCTGAGCTAGAGATGTACACAGTAGCCCCCATGAACCTTGAGAAGATGTTCTGTGAGACTCGTGAATGAGTCGTGCAGCACTTTGCTTAGAAGCCTGATGCTCCTTCACTTGTGGGAAGAAAGGAACATGCACATTTCCAGAAGGCACTTCCCATGCTTGGAATTGAAATTTCAATTCCATAAGTGAGGTGGGGGGAGGGGGAATTAATGCATTGATCTACAAAAGACTCTAGAAAGAGTGCAGAGAAGAGCAACAAAGAAGATTAGGGGACTGGAGACTAAAACACATGAAGAACGGTTGCAGGAACTAGGCATGTCTAGTTTAATGAAAAGAAGGACTAGGGGAGACATGATAGCAGTCTTCCAATATCTCAGAGGCTGCTCCAAAAAAGAGGGAGTCAAGCTATTCTCCAAAGCCCCTGAGGGCAGGACAAGAAGCAATGGGTGGAAACTAATCAAGGAGAGAAGCAATCTGGAATTAAGGAGAAACTTCCCAACAGTGAGGACAATTAATCAGTGGAACAAGTTGCCTCCAGAAGTTGCAAATGCCTCAACACTGGAAGTCTTTAAAAAGATGTTGGATAGCCATTTGTCTGAAGTGGTATAGGGTTTCCTGCCTAGGCAGGGGGTTGAACTAGAAGACCTCCAAGGTCCCTTCCAACTCTGCTATTGTATTGTATAAAGAGGCTCAAAACCATCATTTGCCCAGACTTGCCAAGACGTCTGCAGACAGGCAGGGATGGAAGACAAGGCAAGCATGTTCACACCTTGTGTGCAGAATATTTTGTATTTTATGATTCAGCTTAATTAGGTGTAAAAATTGCACATTACAGGCAGTCCTCGACTTAAAACAGTTCATTTACTGACTGTTTAAAGTTACAACGGCACTGGAAAATGTGATTTAGGACCATTTTTCATGCTTACGACCTTTGTGGCGTCACAGGATTATAATTTGGATGCTTGGCAACTGATTCATATTTATGATGGTTGCAGAGGCCTGTGTGTGTGTGTGTGTGTCCCTTTTGTGACCTTCTGACTAGCAAAGTCAACAGGGAAACCCAATTCACTTAACAGTTGGGCTACTAACTTATCAACTGTAGTGATTCACTTAACAACTGTGGCAAGAAAGGTCGTAACATGAAGCAAAACGTAGTTAACAAATGTCTCATTTAACAGCAGAAATGTTGGGCTCAATTGTCATAAGTCGGGGGCTAGCTGTGTTACTTGTTAAGGGGGAACAAAGAGTTCAATGCTGGTGGGAAGCGCTGGGCCTCCTGAGGGTTTCCCAGCCTCCTTTCCAGAGCCTTTGGCTCTCATCTGGCCTTCTGGAAGCCCCTTAGGTGGAATTGGGTCTTGCTGACCCTGAGAGAGGAAGGTATCCAGGAGGAGGATGCTCAGGTGGGCTTCCGGCCTGATGAAAGAGGCCTTTCCCCCCTCCTGTTTGGAATTTATTTATTTATCCTAAAATTTATCATATTTTTCGGATTATAAGACCACCGGACTATAAGACACACCTAAATAATACAGGAGGAAAACAAGAAAAAAAATAGTTTTTGGCCTCCATGCGTCACATTTTGTCTTCCCCAGCCCCAAGAAGCACTTTGCAGTGCTCCATGTGGCCCGTTTTCACCAAAAAAACACCTGTTTTTGGCCTACAGAGTGCTTCTGGGGGCCGGGGAGAGCGAAAACATGACATGCAGAGGGTTTGGGAGGCCAAACACACATACACACACACACCTATTCGGTCTATAAGACACACCTAAATGTTCACCCACCTTTTTTTTGGGGGGGGGTGCATCTTATACTCTGAAAAATACGGTATTTGCTACCCATCTCATATCCGATGACACCGGGTGACTTACATCAGGAGCCATTGCCATATCAACAATGAAGGCTGTGAAATAAAAATGAAGGACGTGTTGATTTCAGGCTGCCTTACAATTGCCTGCCCAAACATTTGTGATTTTATTTTCCAATATATATTTTTTATCAATCTCAATTTTCAGTCGAAACTGACCTTTTTTCTTTTTGCAAGGTTTAGGGCCATGTAGCACTTTGAAGATGGAGGCCAAAGAGGTGCTGGGGAGTCGGGGGAGGGGGCAGTTGCACCATCCCAGGAAAGACGTGGCTGCTTTCTTGCTTTCAAATCCAAAGGGCTGCCTGGCTGCCTTCGGTGGCTGTGGCCTTCCCTTTCCCTGAGCGGCTATAGCACTTTCCATCTTCCTCTGAATGGGTTGGAGAAAGGGGCGATCTTAACTGGGTTTTTCTGATTTCAGGCACTGTCAGAGCTCTTCGGTTCATCCCAGGGGTAGATGTTTCTGGATCCCTCCTCCCACATCCACAGTCTGATACAGATTGGTCCAAGCCGGCGACAATCACTTCCAAGACCCCCCAAATCAGGAGCCCCTTGGAGACGCAGCCCCTGATAGGGACTTCTGGGCTCCACAGAGGCTTCTCTGATAGCAGAGAGGAGCGCAACAGTGGTCCTGAGGTCTCAGGCCAGCCGTCCTCCTGCGCCAGGGAATCTCAGCATTGCTGGCCTCACGCCCCGGTGGAATGCACGGAGCTGGATCTGCAGGCCTTCTCTGCCTGGGCCGGGAAGGGGGCGGCCGAGATGGGAATCCCAGGGAAACAGAAGCCGATCCCTGAAGGGCTTCCATGGTCTGCCTGTGCAGCAACCCCCGCTGGGCTCTCTCCGGAAGCAGCTTCAGTCTTGCATTCCTCCTTCCAAAACCAGACCCTTGAAAGTGGGGAGCCCCTGTGAAGTTCCTCTAGCCATGTTTCTCTGGAGCAGCCGCCACTGTGAATATTTACAATTTCTCCTCTCGTTTGTACACTTCAGCCGTTGTTATCCTTCACATGGCTGTTGTGGCACTGGCGACATTGGTCGAGCTAAAGAGACCCTGCCTTCCAGAGGGGATTCTGTGGCATGGTCAGGCTGTCTCTTCTTTCATGCCATCCAGCCTCACCCCAAACTGGAAAGGTTGTCCTGTCTCCATTGATGGATCCAGAAGGCTGGCACTGAGCCAGACGTCAAGGTTGCAAAAGTTTATTAACTTTTCAGGCCAGTTTTGGAAGGAAGCTCTGCAGAAGGTTTAGCATTTTGATGCCTTTTTTGCTTTATGACTAATTTATTGGGACTTCAGGCCATAATATCCAACTCTAGGATGTTTTCTACTCATTCATGAGAACATTTGTAACAGCTGAAGAAGCCTACCCAGGGTCTGCTGGGAGTCAAGTGGCTTCAGCTGAACAAGACCTTGTCTCCTTCTCTCTTAGAGGAAAATCTTAAAAGAGAGAGCAAAAAGAGTTTACTTGCAGATTGTGGGAGAAAGGAAATCCAAGAGAGACCTGGACTATCACGTGTCTGCTTGATTTCTCCGTGAAATTCACCTTCTGCTCATCTTCGCAAGAAGGTTCTGGAGTCAGAGGAGAACTTCTGAGCACTGTGTCCATGTCTGTCTCCTGATTTGTCCCATTCAGCTGCTTGAAATATGTAGCTCCAGCTCATGATGGAGTTACTGTACAGTACTTGAAAATCCTGGAACTTAAGTAGGTTTCTTTGTTGATGGTTAAAAATGTAATTTATTTTCAGGGCATGGAGGGAAGTTACAATGCTCCAATGAACCCTGAAAAATTATCTTGCATTGCTGTGGATTTGAGGTGTTCTTTTTCCTCTGGACACTGGTCATAATTTCAACAAAGTATGCCTTGATCATTCAGAGCTTCTGAGCTCTTCAGCAAATGTAAGGGGAAGGGCTCTGGCCACACTTGTTTATTTCCTCTTTGAGCAGAATTGTAGGTACTGCATGAAATTGATTTTTTTTTTTAAATTACAAAATGGTTGCAGAGGAAGGCCTTGGCTGATTAGGGCTATTTTTTTATTTTAAAAAATTCAGAAGTTCTGAGTGGTGTGTATTTTTTCATTATGTATTTTTCATTGATTCTAAAGGAGTCACATCATGCCTGGCTTATCTGTACTTGTAGCGATGCCATTCATTCAGTGTTCCTTCCTTGCCTTTGCATGATCAAAAGCCCTTCTGAAATGCCTTCTCAGCTATGATTTTGTCATCTCAGGGAGGTATCTGACAATCCACCTTCATGGTGTCAATTCCAGAATTCAGTTCCTTGTATAAACAGAGGTAGTCCTCACTTAATAACCCTAATTTGGACTTATAAGTCTGCTGCTTGTACTAGTCTGTGTGACCAGGACTGTGCTTGCTGGCTGGGAAGGGAAAAAATTATTCAGTTTTGCACCTTTGGTTTTTGTATACTTCCTAAGCACTCCCCCTACCCCCTCTGGCACTGCCACCTTTTGAAACACTCAAATTCCTTCTTCGTGTCTTGTGCACATTGAAAGCAAGGCTATTGTGCTGCTGGCGGTGGGGGACATGGGGGGGTGGGTCTGGGAGCCATGAGGACTTCCATTAGTTAGAGAAATAATTGAAGGAAGGAAGGGCAAGACTGCCTTGTTGAGTCAGGCTTAACCAGGCTTCATTGGATCTAGATATTTTTTGCTTGCCTTGTTATTCATTAATTAAGTGAGCCTGGAGGCATCCTAGCAGTTCACCATCCTGGTTTGCTAATGACAACTCTGTCAGGAATATAAGGATACCTGGGGGTGAGAAATGGTGTGTTTCTTGTATGATAGGCTGAAAAGGCTAGAATTCAGGAAGTGTTTGGCGTGGTCATTGTGGGCTTCAAGTAGGAGGAATCAGGACAATCAGTTTTGCCAGTTGGGATAATTTGGAACTGAATGTTAAGATAATAAGTACTCAGCCAAATGTGTGGCTTTTCTTTCACTTAATACTGCTGTGGCTATTGCCACATCGAATCGTTTTGGTGAACACAATTTTACTCTGTAATTTTTCCCAGAGTCTCTGACTATAGAGTCTCTGGTACACTTTTTTGTAATACAGCTTCGGTATGGAGCTGTCATTTTTTTATCTCATTTATTAGATTGAAATGTCTTTGGGTTAGTTAAATTATTCTTCCTTACATCATCAGTGCCAGGTTTTGCCTGAAATGTAGGCACAATTGGTGAATTGATTGATTGGGGTCTCATAGATTATATGAGACTCCAGTTGATCACTAAAAATTGATTGTCAAAATTCATTTGTGGTTGTCATTGCATGTGTGTGATCAAGTGTCACTGTACTTTTTGGGCAAACACAAATCTAAGGCCATCATTTCAGGAGTCCTTATAATGACTGACTTCCCTAATCTTACAAGATGTACATTATTTTTAATGATTACTTAATAGGAATTTTCCTTGGAAAATTTTGTTGTGGTTATTTTGTGAAAGACATGTTGGCTAAAACAAGTTTAGAAAAGATATTTTGATCTTTAATTATCTCTAATTAATTGCTCTTAATATCTCACATTTGTATTTTGTGTCTTGTCCTAATTTTAAGAACCATATCACATGTTCATGATGCGCTAATGCAGGGGAGAGGCCATTCCTTTTAGGAGTTATAGAGATCTCCTCAAAACACGATATACTTACTTGATAAGTTGGTTTATATAAGCTCTGGCCAGATGCTGAGAGTGCAGAGGGCCTGGTTCCTTTAGAAGAAGACTACCTCTACCACAACCACCATGTAGAATAATTCCTCCAAACTAGGCCAATTACTTTTTGTAAGTCAAGGAGATTGATATGAGAAAGTTGCCATCAAGATACCATCTGAAGCCTCAATCTTGTACAAATGATTCCATTACCTTAAGACTTTTCTTGATCAGAACTGGGTTTCAAGCACTAGGTCTCATAAACTAAAATGGATCACTCATGTACAAAAGGAATCTTACTGCTGCACTATTATTACCAGCCCTGGTTTCTGCTTGGCATCAGTTTGCTGCAATGTACAAAGTTGTGAAGACCTTACCTGTCATAAGACCTTGCCTGAATAATGTGAAGAACAAGAATTGCATTTCAAAACTTCTTCCTGTACTTTATTTTATATAGGGCATAAATGATTAGTGTTTAGAAGACTGCTGTAGTGATACAGACTTAAGAAACAAATGTTTTTTAAGCAATGAGAATTTGTTTTGCACCTATACAGTGGAAGAAACACTGCTGAATGAAATCTGTTTTTCCTGTTTCACAAAATTTCTTGTAAAAGAGGCCATCTTTTTTCTACCTCATTCACGATGCTTGTTCTCAACAATGTAAACACAAAGGTAAATATTGTTGATTTACAAGATTGATTTGAATCAATAGACTTTTGAAAATTCAGTCAGCACAGCTTAGAAATGTGGTGTTTGCTTTTCCCAGTCAACAGCACTGGAAAACTGTAGGCAGGCGAAGGATATCAAAGCTTGTGTTTAAAGGGAATTTTATTTATTTTCACACTATCAGAAACACACTCTTAACAGGCTGGAAAAAGAAGCATTTCGGAGTAATTTTGTATTTAGCTTTAGTTTTCATTTTTAATAAATCTCAACTGAAACTTGTATCATTTTTAAAAGGAAGTTGTTTCCAAAACAGGAAAAAATAGGGACATCTTTGGGTTCCTGCTTCTTTGCATTTATTTATTTATTTCGAGGAGAAAATACCTCATGTATTTTTTTTGTATGTGAAATTGTGCATTGGTTTTCGTGTAATTCTAAATGCCACTATTTTAATAGCCATTTCAGGATTCTTTATTTTGAATGAAACAATGATCCTTGTGAAACATTTTGTACTTGCAGTGAAAAGAAATAAAAAAGTATGTCTCCTGTATACACTCTCCATGCTGTTTCAGTATCCTATTAACATCCTTAACAGATCATTCTTTTACAGCCATTCATTTAGTGACCTCTTGAAGTTAGAATGGCACTGAAAAATGACTTAGACTGAGGGTTTTCACACAACCATTGCAGCAGTCATGGGGTGATCTCCATTTGTAACCTTCCCAGCTGGCTGCCAACAAGCCAATGGAAGGAGCCAGATTCGCTTAATGACAGGGTGATTTGTTTAACAACTGTGACAAAAGTGGTCGTAAAGCGGGACGAATATCATTTGCTTAGCAATGAAAATGTTGGCATCCGTTGCGGTCGTAAGTCGAGGACTACCTGCCCTAGCGAATCGGGGGTTGGTTGGGGGCTTTGTAGCCTGGCCCGACTCGCAGCTGGGCCTTTGGGCAGCGCCTCCCTTGCCGGGCCGATCGGAGAGCGACGAGAGGGAGACGTGGGGGTGGACTAGATGACCTACAAGGTCCCTTCCTAATCTGCCTTTCCAGCGCCAAAGCGCGGGGAATCCCCGGATTCCCCTCGGCTTTTGCGTGATGACGTCACCACCCACCCCGGGGGCCTCCTCCCGGCCTCGCGTCAGGAGGACCCCCGCCGAGTGACGTCACCCCGGCGCCGTCGCGCGGCGATGATGCCATCTCCACGTCGCCGGTCCACAGCCGCGGATCGAGATGGCGGCGGCGGCGGCGAGGGACGGAGAGGCGGTGGCGGGCGACGGAGCCACGAAGCCGCTGGTAGGAGGGGAGGCGAGGGCGGCGGGCCTGCGGGCCGTTCCCAGGGTGAGCCCGGGGCGGCGAGGCAGAGAGCTCCGTCCGAGGGCAGCGCCGCTGATTAGGCGGGGCGGCTGGTGGGGCTCGAAGCGGCTGTTGTGCCGGTGGGAAGCTGAGGCTCCGGTCCTCGCCTTTCTTCCTCTGCGACTTTCCAGGTTGGGTTAGAATAGCGTTGAATAGTAATAGCCCTTAGATCAGGGGTCCCCAAACTCGGACGCTTTAAGACTTGTGGACTTCAACTCCCAGAATCCTACAGCCAGCTGTAGGATTCTGGGAGTTGAAGTCCACAAGTCTTAAAGGGGCCGGGTTTGAAGACCTCTTGCCTTAGACTTATACACCGCTTCATAGTCCTTTTTATAGCCCCCTCCAAGTGGTTTACAGAGCATGTCGTCTCTAGAAAGAGTGCAGAGGAGAACAACCAGGATGATTAGGGGACTGAAGGCTAAAACATATGAAGAACGGTTGCGGGAACTGGGCATGTCTGGTCTAGAGAAAAGAAGGATCATGATAGCAGTGTTCCAATATTTGAGGGGCTGCTACAGAGTTCAAGCTGTTTTCTAAAGGACCACCAGGCAGCATAGGTGGTATCTGGCTAAATAGTAGTAACTGTGAGAGGGATCTTGGAGTCCTAGTAGACTATCACTTAAATATGAGCCAGCCATGTGCTGCTGCAGCGACAAAAAGCCAATGCAATCCTAGGCTGCATCAACAAAAGGATAGAAATAAGACCCAGTGAAGTGTTAATACTGCTTTATAATGCCTTAGTAAGGCCACAGGTAGAGTACTGCATCTAGTTTTGGCCACCACACTATTAAAAAGATGTTGAGACTCTAGAAAAAGTGCAGAGGAAAGCAACCAGGATGATTAGGGGACTGGAGGCTCAAACATATGATGAATGGTTGCAGGAATTGGGCATGGCTTATCTAGTGAAGAGAAGGACCAGGGGAGACATGAGAGCAGTCTTCCAATATTTGAGGGGCTGCCTCAGAGAGGAGGGGGGCCAGCTATTTTCCAAAGCCCCTGAAGGCCAGAGAAGGAATAATGGATGGAAACTGACTAAGGAGAGATTCAACCTGTAAATGAGGAGGAACTTTCTGACAGGCAGAACAATCAACCAATGAAACAGAAGTTGCCTTCAGAAGTTGTGGGAGCTTCATCACTTGAGACTTTCAAGAAGAGATTGGACTGCCATTTGTCAGAAGTGGTGTAGAGCCTCCTGCTTGGTGGGGAGTTGGACTAGATCACCTACATATCCAATTCTGTTAATCTAATCTAGTTGGCAACAGTCTGGGTCCTCATTCTAGGTAATAGTTTCCTTCTGTCTTTGGAAAACATCTGGAGAACAGTCTGGTGTCCAGAGTTTCCTAAATGGGACATTAAGATTGAACAGTATCTTTAATTCTGAGATAATTTGGTCCTTTTCCCAAAGTTGTGCAATTATTTTACTGATAATCCTGGTTAAAAGGATAGGCCGCAATTATACGCACATTGAAAGAAGGTGGCTTGCAAAATTGCATGTGTTTTGCTCTTCAAAACATTTAGAAAGGTGGAAGATGCTTCCAGTGCGGTTCTCAGAACAGGATTTAAAGATGTACAATAAAATGATTGGCCCCTGGTGTCATACAGGTAGTCCTCAATTTACAACAGTTCCTTTAATGTCTATTCAAAGCTACAACAGCAGTGAAAAAATTCTTATGACTGTTTTTCACTGTTACAACGTTTCCTGCATCCCCACAGTCATTGTCATTTGGATGCTCAAAAAATAGTTCATATTTATGATGGTTGCAGGGACCCAGGGTCACGTGATACCCTTCTGAAACCTTCTTACAAGCAAAGTGAATGAGGAAACCAGATTCACGTAACAACAGGTTACTTAACAACTGCAGAGATTCACTTAACAACCGTGGCAAGAAATGTCATGAAATGGGGCAAAACTCACTTAACAACAGAAATGTTGGGCTCAATGTTGAGTGAATATCTGAATTCAGATATGAAAAGTAGTAAGAAGTGCATAAACCATCTTGAAATCAAAGCCCTCTGATACCAGAATGGCTGTTCCAACCCTACTACCAGCATTCAGACTTGTTTTACATCCATTCCTAACTGTTGAAATGAGGGTCACTTCAGGACACTTCATGTTTGCGATTCTTAAACATCAGAATATTCTGCATGCTTCTGGTTATATTTCCCGTTATCTGGGATTGATCAGGTACGAAATATTTTCAAATGCAAATACTCCTGCTGTGCTATTTATTAATCGCTTGGTCGATATAATTAATATTTTTTAAACCTTGTGTAAACAGTTTGCAGGTCTTGCAGATGTGTCAATATCAGAAGATATCCCTGTAGAAGGGGAAATTACTGTTCCTATGGGCTCTAGTACTCCGGATGAAGACTATTCCACATTAGATGAACCAGTAAAAGAGACTGTCGTAAGTACCTTGGTGAAAAGGAAAAAATTCCATCAGATTTCTCTTAGCATTTTTGGCAATAAAGTGCAAAAATAAGACATCTGAAGATATCAACATTGGATGATTTTGATAAATCAGTTTATTGTGGCAATATTAATGAAGCCATTACAAAAAACTTCAGTTGCTTTGTGTCAGATTACAGTTATCCTGGTTACAAATAAATTTTGTATGTGTTTTTCTGCTACCTGCATTAATTTGCTCTCTCCTAAGCAATATTTCCAAGGAGTCTCAAGTCCGTTTGTCAGCTTTCAGAGTTAGGATTTTCTGGAATATTGTATTGCTTTTGAAGATGTATTTGCATATTGTTAATTATTGTAGTTTAAAAGTAATTCACTTGAGGTGTCAATCCTACTTTTAATGAATCACTTAGTTTGCAGGATTGAATAAGAAGCTGGTTAGTGAAATCCCCTTTGATCAAAATTGGAATCTGTAGGTTTAAATTAAATTTTTGCCAGCACTAGAAAGAAGAAAAGAGAAATTCAGCTCAATCACTGCAATTAGCATTGCTATGACTTGTGTAAATGTATCTTACCTAAACTTATTTTTGACTGAACTTTCATTGAATTTTTCAGATGCGGGATTTGAAAGCAGTTGGAAAAAAATTTGTCCATGTCATGTATCCCAAAAAAAGCAGCGCCCTCCTCAAAGACTGTAGGTGCCAGAAATGTTGAAAACCTTAAACAGGGGTCTCCAAATTTGGCAACTTTAAGACTTGTGGATCAAATCCACAGTCTTAAAAGTTGCCAGGTTTGGAGACCCTTGCCTTAGACTGTGCTAAATTCTGTGAAGGCATACTTGCCTCAGAATACAGTGTAACACAAGAGGGAGGGAGAGCTTTGAAATAGCCATTTGGGGGTTATCAATTTTGCATTCCCTTGTAGAAATCATCTGTGATTTATTTCTTTGCAGGGGATTTATGGGGTCCATTAATCCTGTGTGTTTTACTTGCACTGTAAGTACTTATATTATTTACCCCACCCCACTCCCCACCCTAATGCTCTAAAATTGTGTCATTCACGGGAAAATATAAATGCAACGCAGCAGTTGTACATACTATAAATTTCAAGGGAGCACCATTTCAAGAACCAAATGTATGGACTTGGTTTAGTAAACATGCATATGACTCTTGAAATCTGTACATTGCAGAAGAGCCTGCACTTCATTCTTTCTGTGCTGAATATTTTACCATATTTTTTGAAGTATAAGATGCACCTTTTACCCTCAAAAAAGAGGCTGAAAATCTGGGTGCATCTTATACAGTGAATACAGCATTTTTTGCCTCCTGAAACTTTGCCCCCTTCACCAAAATGGCCATGCATAGCTTTTAGAAGGCTTTCAGAAAGAATGAAGTGCAGGCTCTTCTGCAATGTACAGATTTCAAGAGTCATATGCATGTTT